ATTAGTTAAATATTTAAATAATTTTTGAATATGCTAATGAAGGGTTTCGTACTTATATTAGATTAATGATCTCTTAAGAAAATTTATTCTGATTTATTTGCTCAAATATAGTACCAGTTGTATTCTTTTAAAATTGATGAAATAATAAAAAGTTTACTGACCAATTTAAAGTATTTATGTAAATAAAAAAAAATGTGTAAATAATCAATTGAACTTTTGAACTTTCCGTACAATTTTTCAAGTGCAATTCATTTTTAATATTTTGTGAATTGTTTTGGGAAAGAACCATTGTATTGTGTTAATCAATAATACTGGGTATACCTATTTTGCTTAAAAAATGAATAAATTATACAAAAATTTAATGGAAAATATCAGAAGACAATTTTGCTTCAGGGCTCCATAATATTCCATTGAAATTTTATTGTAATTCGTATAGAATTTTGATAAAATTTTATAAGTGAATATTTGCTTAAATTTTTTGAATGTGTGTTGGATATTATATAGGTATGTTTACGTGTTAATACAATTTAGTTTGTTTTTTGTTCAAATTATGAAAAATTTTCCATTTTGATTGGTGATTATTCAATTCTTTTTTTTTTAAGAATTTAATTTACTATTATAATATATTAAATGACGTTTTTCTCGACTTATGTATAATATAATGAAGATCTGTGATTGGAAAATTTTCAAAAATATATTGATAAACTTTTTGGCTTAAATTAATAAAATTTTTTCTGAAGTATTGAGATTCTTATTTCAAAAAGCTGAGATACGATTAAGAAGTAATCGCTTTTTATACGATTAAGAAGTAATCGTAATTTTTTTTCTATGGTAAGCCGTTATATATGGTGTACTATTTTAAATAATAAATAATTTTATGAATAAAATTCTTCAATTGAAATAGTATATTTATTATAAATGACAATAGCCTGGTCAATTTTAAATCAAAAGTCTTGAATTAGCTTATTCTCGAAATATTAAGAGTTCCATTTATAAATTTAATTGATTTCTTTACCATTATTTTTTTTATCTGCGCGAATTATTTTAGTAGCGTTATATAAATTTATTATTTCGCTTGTAAAACAAATAAAAATAATTGTTTGAGATGGGGATATATATATGTATGAGGCGCTCTATTATGTTCAATAGAGCTGTAATAGCCTGAAGAATTGTTCTATGTTTTCAAAATACTTAGTTTACTCTTCAAAACCAAACTTATGGAAAAATAGAGTGAAAACTATTTTTCCATAAGTTTGTTTTTGTTTTAAATTTTCTTAAAAATTAAATATTTTAAAATTTTAATCACAATTTACTCAAAATGTCTTTGCATGTAGGTCACTAATGCGCTGAGCGCCTCATATGTGTAAATAATATAAATAAGTATAATATATTTCTCTTGAGGATACATTATAACGCATCCTTATATAAATAAGTATAACTCTCAGCGACTAGTACATATACGTCGCAATAAAAAGTTACGAACAACTAAAGTAAAAGTTTGTTATTTGAAACTGGGTAAAAATATCACGAATCGATTATCGTAAACTTTTTTCAACGAGATCTACTTTTGCCATCAAAGGAAAAAACAATTTACTGTGTAGTTTGGGTTTTAGGACGATTAAAGAACATAATTTTCAGTTGTGTTAGTTAAGTAAAATATCGATAAAAAATAAGTAAAACAAAGCGGAAAAAACAGTTTTTTTATTTTAAACTTCATAAAATAATAAAATGAAAAAAATAAAAAAATGTTTAAAATATTTTCATTTTGTACTTATTCTGTTTTGTTCAAAGTTGTTTTACTGGGCCACTTATGTCTCAAACGTCGGTTTTATTGGGATAAATTATGTCCCATCGGTTCCCAATTCAATTAATTAATTAATAAACAAACATTTCAATTAATTTTATAATTCTAGTATCATCAAAGTAAAGAGTTTCCTTTCAAAAAGCCCGAACCAGATGATGAATGTAAGGGCAATTACAAATTTGCTTCGTATTTAAAATGAAGTAATGATTCAGAAACTAAAAGAACATTGTCTGAACAGAATGATCTTGATAATATCGATGAAGAAAATATTTTTACCTCAGTTGCTGAAATTTTAATTATCTTGTATCGCAACATTATATTTTGTTTGATCTGCCTCATTTATTGCAACAAAAAAGATTATTTCCGGAAAAAATTTTTTTTGTTTCTTATAATTTCAAGACAATAGGGATCGCAAAACTCAGAAATCCACTCTAGTAGTTATGCACATTTTTAATATATTCTCTATAATTTTTAATTTAAAATAAGCCTAAAAATATGCAATTCCCATATAATGATTATAAAGATATTTGAGTTATTATTAAACTTCGATCAAAATAAAAAGTGGCTCAAAATTGAAAAAAAAACTATGGGCTTTTAATTACATTTTTGAATTTTAAATTATTTTAACGTTTCATACTTTATGAAAGACCAAAAAAAAAGTAATTATTTTGAAAATCGAATCAAAAGTAAATTACAAACTTATATGATTATGTATTTCTTATACACACTACTTACTTCGGAGCTTATATGTATGAGTATGTTTGTAACTGAGTAAGTAAATACGTAATGACCTTTTACGTTTCATATAACAGACTTCCGCATATATGAGTAGTTCAATTAAAATCAATTTTGTTCTCAATTTTGTACTTATATTATTTTTTATTTAAAACGTATAATGGAAAACTAAATATCAAAAACTATCAGATGACATTTTAATAACATAAAATTTATGTTTTATTTTTTAAAAATTTATAATAAGTATACGTAATATTCTTTACTTACATTCAAATAGCGTTCAAATCTACTGTTAATGTCTATGATCTGTGACTATAATCACAATTAATGATTTGCTATTCAAGTAAAATAAGCAAAATAAACGCATTCATTATGTACCAACAATAAATTGAATACATACGTTTATCTTTTATGTTTGTATATATGTGTGAAACGAAATAAGTTTTTCGTACAAAAAATTAGTGAACCTGAACTTGTAATCTAGGTAGGTAGGTGATTTGTATTTCTAGCATACTGATGACAAATTAATTTGTTTTTTTTTTTAAATGATGATAGAAATTAGATTAAATTTGAATTATTGTTATTCGTAAAATAAAATTGATTGTTAAATTCTTATTATACATATGTATATATATATATATGTATATGTATTATGTATAACAAGATATTTTCTTATAATACGTACGTATATACATGCATATAATATTAAAATAATATTATTATATAATAGAAATTAAAATTATTTTAAAAAATTATTTTGTAATCTTAATCGAATATTTTTTCTAAATTTTTTTACATACATATACAGTATGTATATTTGAGATTATTAAATGATTCATTCAAATAAATAATAAATTTAATTTTATATACATATAAATTACTTGTACCAAAATTTTAACAAGTGCCTGTGTAAAAAATGCACTTATTAGTTTCTCTCAGTACATCTGTTCATTTAGTAAATTTCTATGCCCCACAAGTTTTAAAAGCACTATTTTTTGAAAATTTACAATAAGTTGTTAAAAATATCGAACTTAAAGGTAATCAGCCGGAGTCTTAAGTTTAAGCAGCTTTCGGACAATCATAAATAATTCGTTTCGTATTGTCTCTAAAAAATAATAAAATTTTTAATTTTCAGCAATTTTTTTTCTGTAAAACAACGAGCTCTCTGTTGATCTAAAAATGGATAAATAATGGTAAATGTCTTGTTATATGAAAATATAAACAAATTTGAAAATTTTTATATCTTATCCTAAAACTATGCAATAATCATTAAATATTAATATGAGACCAACATACAATGTTAATACATAATAATGCAGGTAACTAGGTATATATACTAGGCGTTCATATTGTAAATCAACGTTTCCACTCAAATGATTCATAATCTACATTATATTTTAAAAGCATTGGACGATGAACTAAGTTTCAAATTGTTTAAAAATCGTTGCACTGAATGTAAAATTTATTAAAGTCTTTTATAAAAAGTTTAAGTATGGTTTTAATATCGCAGTAGTACCGTCTCAGAGCTTTTAATACCTTTACATTGTAAAAAAACTGCTAAAGCTTTTGATGCATTTTGGAATACAATTTTTACAATATTAATACATACTTTGACGTTTGTTTGAAAATTTCAATTTAAAGTTCTGTGTAAATGTTAATTTTCAACAAATGCTACCACATCTTTAAAAACATAGCATTCTTATGCTGCATTTTAGGAAAAAAATTTAATAACCAGCACTTTATTTCTAGCACTTTTGTTTAATTGGTTATTTCTGGCAACATTTATATGACATGTATAAGAAAAGCGTGCTCGATTTTTTCGATACCTAATTTACTTTTATTTTACGTCTCCACTACGTATATAACGCATTTAGAAAAAGTATAAAAGGTCAAAAGCTTTTACTAAACTTTTTGGAAAGTGATACATTGTAAAGTTTACGTCGTAAGCGCATTATTGAAGTCACGCATTATTTAGACATTATTTTCTCCATCTAGTGAAAAAGCTTAAAAGCTCAAGTTTGAAGGCGGTTCAAAAAGGGTTGAAAATAGTTTCTTTTTACAGTTCGGAGTCAGCCATACTCGTCTTTCAAATCTTTCGCTTAGAAATGTGGTACTTTGAAAACCATCAGCTTGATAAGATTTTCTTAAAGTGAGGGTTAATTGTTTCATTCTGATTTAAATTACAGTTTTAGTTTAAAATTCGGATTCCTTTAAAATTTTTCATAAAATAAGCAATTTCTTCCTAATAAAGAATCCATTGAGTCACATCACTTTGAATTTTTAAGGAAAAATATTTAGGAAACGCATTTTTTTTTCTACATTTCATAAGTTTTTTTCTAAATTTAATATAGAATGTGACAAATGTCGTTCAAATAATGTATATTTTATTTATAGAAACTACATATGTACCTCATATTAAATAAACCGTTTTAAATAAAAACTTTTCTTTATAATTTTACAGAATGAGTATGTCACAGAGGGACTAAAAGTGCGCAAACCGGAAGGAAAAATTAACAAGAAAAGTTAAATATGAAAATTTGTTCTCAAACTTTTAGTCTTAATCAAATTAAGGCACTTTTAAGAAAGGATTTATTAATAAGACTACGGCAACCAGTAAGTAAATTTAAAGTAATAAAACCTTTACGAGTAATGTAATATGTCAACATCATTAAATCTCAGAATTAATATTAGAAATTTATACTTTGTTTATGATGTAGTTTCTCAATATAAAAAAAGATTTAATTTTGGTGGTTGGGTTAAACTTCTAACTTTAAACTTTTCTTTTATAATTGTAATAAAATTTGATTATTTCTTAAAATACTTAAAAACTTTATATCTTACAGTGGATGCTGATAGCTCAAATAATATGGCCAATAATAATATTCAGTGCACTTTACTCATTTCGGAATCGTTTTCAACCAAAATCAATACCAGATTGTCAATATCCAACCAGACAATTACCATCAAAAGATAATCTTTTACCATTTTTACATTCATATGTGTGTACGATTGAAAATAAATGTATGAATGTTACACAATATGAAGAAGTTTTATTGCTGGATAATGCACCGTAAGTATTTGAGTCTAATTAATTGATTATCAAACGAGTTATTTAGAATATTGAGCATTTCGCTGTGTTTAAGAAAAGTTTGATAATTCGACGCAATCATAAATGATATAAGATGAATTATTGTAAATTCTTAAATTATTTCCTTACAATTATAAAATATAATTATGTAAAAAAGTTTCGAAATATATAATTAAAATTTATTTTTTATTACAGGGCAAAACCGATTGTCGATATTTTTCAATTAATTATTAGCGATAATGATTTAGTAGATACAATTAGTGACTTACCAAATACAACAGATTGGGTTGGAACTGTACTTACTTTAATTCAAAGTCCAAAATTTAATGATATTCAAGGTTAATTGAAGCACATAAACTTTAAAAAATAATGATATCTAATTGTTTTTTGTTTTATTTTAGAAAATATATCGAAATTCGTTTCGAAATTTCCTCAGCTGAGTCAATTAGTGGCTGGGGATTTTAATATTAGTTTAATGTTTTCAGGTTTGTATACAAAATAATCCCAAAATTATATTATAAAATTAAATATTATAAAGTACACATTATTTTTGAAAATGGTTGTAACTTAATGAAAATAAATATTAGAAATGAAAACAAAATTTACAATTGAATTTAATTTAAATTCTCTTCAAATAATTTAAAGTATAATTTTAAAATGCCATGAATAATTTTAGATAGTCAACAGTTTGCAAAAACGGGGTTAATTTTGTGCGGGCACAAATTTCCTGAAGATAATTTTATTCGAATAGTACGAGATATTGTCTACGGCGAGGATGAAACTCCAATTAATCAAGATGAATTAGATGCAATGCCAAGTAAAAATTTAATTATATAATGCGATAATTTTTAAGAATCAGATGTCTTATTATTTATTTAATTTTAGCTCCATATTGTAAAAAATTGTATTTAGATGTAAGTAGCACACGACGTGGTAAATTAACATGGAGTCAAGTAAAACCAATTATTCAAGGTAAAATTATTTATGGGCCGACTAATAATGAAACATCTGAAATTATGAAACATGTGGGTTTTTAATTTGCTTTTAAGAACAAAAATAAAGATGAATTGTTGATCTATTGTTTAATTGTAGGCAAATACAACATTTGATGATATTAATAATTTGCGTAAAGTTTTTGAAGGTTTACATTTAACAAGAGTTCGTTTGAATACAGACAAGGATTTTGAAAAAAGTTTTGATGATTTATTGGAATTGGCAAAATCTCCTTTAGTTAAACTAATTGCTGGTGATATAGATGTCGATCAAATTGCAGCTGGACTTAAATTTATTAAAACTGATAAAACATTTGCTGAAGTTATCGAAACTCTTTTTCATATTTTAGAATGTTTTGCTGTTGATCGTTATATACCAGTTGAAACAGAATTTGAATTTGAAGAAGTTGCATTCGATTTAAACCGTCGTCGACAGTTTTATGCCGGTGTTTGGTTTAATAAAACTAAAAGCAAAGATGTTATTTACAGGTTAAGAGTTGATACAGATAATACCCCGGTAACAATTGAAACTCATAATCGGTTTTGGTTCCCGGGTCCAATGGATAGTATGGCTGAAGATTTAAAATATCATCGAGGATTTGTTCAAATTAAACAAGCTTTAGATACTGGAATAATACGTTACAAAAAGAGTTTACTAATAATGGAAAAAGAAACAATGGAACATCAAGTAAGTGACAACAAAAAATCGGCAGAGGATGAATTAGAAAAATTTTTGAGTTGGGAAGATGATGACTTCAATTCACCTTCAACAACAGAACCAATTCTAACTAGTTCAGTTGGTCCTGAATATAACATATCAAGATCAACTACTGAGACATCGATATTTTTGAATCTTTTGGGCAATGCGAAAACAAATAACACTTCATCTGAAAAAAATATAAGTAATCTTATTGGACCTTTTGAATGGGATGAAGATTTTGATGGTCCATTCAATGGTAGTTCGAAAGATGAAAGTACAACTACTATATCGTCTTTGGATATTGAAAATGTTACAGATCCGCCATCGAATGTTAGAAAGAAAAGACAATTTGATTTTTTCAATATGCTTTTTGGAGGCGACAGTAATAGCAAAAGTAAAAAAGATGAATCTGGAGTCGATGATATTAAAGTATACACAAAACAATTCCCGTATCCTTCATACATTAAAGATGAGTAAGTAGATAAGGACGACGGCTAGCTATAAAAAAATAATACACTCAAAAAACATATAAAATTGTCAAATATTTAAAAATTATTTAATCCTTTCAGTTTCAAGAGAGGCCTTTATTTGGGACAAGCAGTTCAAATGTCTTTTTTTTTTGCTCTGATGATTCAAATTGCAACTTGTGTTCGATACAGAATTTGGATGAAAGAGAGTAAAAATACAATGGTAATGAGATCCATGGGTTTAAAAGCTTCATCAGAAATTTTAGCTTGGATTTTCACAACATTCATAGAAATATTGGTCATATTTTTAATCGCTTGTTTAATTCTTTACGTTGGTGCAATTTTGGAATATACCAGTTTTGTCTTTATTATATTATTTTTAATCTTATTCGGGCTTTGTACGATATCTTTTTGGTAAGTTATGAATTTTCTTAAAAACTGTTCTTTGTTTCTGAATTTTCTTTGTTCAAACTTCACTTTTGGCCAATTTTGTTTTTGTTTTAGTTACATGTGTTCAACAATATTTGCCTCGGCCAGTATTGGATCAGTAGCTTCAGCCATTTTATTTTTGATGACATTCTTACCATACATTATTATAATTTGCTTAGATACTAAGTTGTCTAAATTTATGACATTTATTGTAAATTTATCCCTTTCAACATCATTTTGTTACGCTTGGGAGCATGTTATGCGCCAAGAACTGCAAGCAACTGGAATGTCTTATGGTCAAGCATTTAACGAAGGGTTGGAAGGAGAATTTACATATGGTGTTTGTATGTTAATTTTGGATGGTATTTTATATGCAATTATAGGCTATGTTATAGAAACATATTATAAAAATGGTAAATACTCCGTTGGCCCGTAAGAGTTCTATATTAAGCACTTTTATGAATTTTTTAGATGATGATAAGTATTATAGAGTTGATAGAGAAGATTTAGATCCAAGTTTGGGTGCCTTAATGGAAAATGTTACAAAAGTTTATAATAATGAAAAAGTAGCTATAAGTAATATTTCGTTAACATTTCCGAAAGATGAAATAACATGCTTGCTGGGACGGAATGGAGCTGGGAAAAGTACAATTATGTAAATATTTTTTATATTCAAATAAAAATTTAATTTTAAAATACCCCAATGTATTTATATTATTCTAGTAAAATGCTCACTGGGCAAATAACTCAAACAAATGGAAAAGTTGTAATATCACAAGCTTTAAGTGACCGTAATGAACCAGATAAAGTCGGTTTTTGCTCACAGGATAACGTTTTAATCCCACAATTAACTGCCAAAGAGCACTTATTATTATATTCAAGAATAAAAGTAAAAAAAAATTTCGAAGCAGAAGTTGAAAAGACAATGCAAAGTCTAAATTTTGGTAAATATGAAGATTTTCAAGCTAATCAACTTTCTGGTGGTTATCAAAGAAGATTATGTGTGGCAATTGCGTTTATTGGTAAGCTTTTTACAAAAGTTATTTACGATCAGTATTTATTTTAATACTAATTTTTATTAATTGCAGGTTCTCCAAATTTAGTTATTTTAGATGAACCATGTAGTGGTGTCGACACCAAAGCAAGAAAATGTGTATGGGAGCTTGTAGAAAAATTACGTAAAGGAAGAGCTGTTGTTTTGGCGACTCATTATTTAGATGAAGCTGAGTTTATGAGTGACAAAATTATAATTATTCATAATGTAAGAAAAATATTAAAACCTAAATTAAAGCTAATGTTAAAAAATATTTAATAATAATTCAAGGGCCAAATAATAAGTCGCCATAGTCCAGAATCATTAAAGAACTTAATTACAAAATCATTTATACTGTCAATTAAACTTAATGGAAAGGATCCTGCTATAACGGAAAAAATTCATGAAGAATTCAAAACTCACTTGAAAAGTTTTACACCAATAAGTGCAAATCATTCAAAAATTGAAATTGAAGTTATTTATGATCCTATATTGAATGATTACCCTTCTTTATTTGACAAATTAGAAGATCTTCAGGCACAACAAAGAATATCTGACATTGTAATTTCCAGTAATAGTTTAGACCAATTATTTGCAAACTTAAATAAGACAGAAATATTAACAAATGGTAGTGTAATAAATTCAAATGGAAATTCAGAAAATTATGAAAAAATTGATTTAACGCGACAAGATCCACAAGAATTTCACAATTCGATAAGCCGTTGGGAATTAATAAAAAATCTATTTAAAAAACGTTTAATACATTTTTCACGTAATTTAAAACTTTTAATTTGTGTATTAGTTTTGCCAGCATTATTTGAAATAATTGCAATGAGTTTTGTTGAATTGAGACCAGGCGGAGAATTTGATACACCATTAAATTTAACAAGGAATTTGTATCCTGAAACTTCAGAATTTTTCAGTATAGTGAAACCAAACAATTTCACTGAATTAACTTATAATAAATCTCATGAACATTGTGATGGGATTGATGATTCATTTGCATGTTTTGATTTTAAGGATTCTTATTTGGCATATAAATGGTTATTAGAAACTGATGATTTATATAGAATGAATCGATATGGTGGATTAACTTTTAATAAAACATCTGTTAATGTTTGGTATAACAATAAGGGTTATCATTCAATGGTTTCGTGGCAAAATGATTTAAATACAATGATGCTACGAAGTGAAATGAAAGATGATGAATATGGTATAACAACTTATAATCATCCATTGAAACTAGGTGAACGCGAATTAAGTGCATCATCGATGTAAGTTTTAAAATATATTAGCGTAATAAACAAATTTTAATACTTTGCTATCACTTTTATTCATTAATTTTCAGATTGCAACAAGTTTCAGATGCTGGAATCGCTTTTATTTTATTGATTGCATTTAGTTTGGTTGTTGCTAGTGCGTCCGTGTATATTGTTAATGAAAGGGTTAGTGGTGAAAAATTACAACAAAAATTATGTGGAGTAGATAATCTTACTTATTGGGGAGTAGCACTTGTATGGGATTTATTGGTAAAATGATTTATTTGGAAATATTTTGAAAAAAACTTAGTAATGATAATTCAATTTTTAGATTTATTTGCTGGCTGTGTTAATTTGTGTAGTTATACTGTATATATACAGTTTCCCTATTTATGTGGATCGATCACAAATGAATGGAATTGTATTATTATTAGTTTTATTTGGGTAAATTTGAATTACGAGGATCATAACAATATTTTCAAATTTTGGCTGATATAATATTATTTTAGGTTTGCAACAATTCCAGCTGTGTATGTTTTCGAGAAATTATTTTCTGAAGCAAGTTTTGCTAATATGACAATTTTCTGTTTGAATGTAACAATAGCTTTAACAACTTTAACTATAATAACTGTGATTGATGTTCTCGGTGAGACTGACACTGATGTTTGGTGGAGAAATTTTTTGAATAGATTATTTTTAATATTTCCACAACATGCACTATCAGATGCCTTAATTGAAATATGTAAAAATTATATATTGGTAAGATATTGAATAACGTATTTAATGAATAATGACAAACCTAAAAGTGACGTGAAGTTTGTCATTCTACTCTTAAATCATTTTATTTTTAAAAACTACAATTAGCTTTTTGGTCCTGCAATTAACTTAACTACTTAAATTAATAATTAAGCATGTAAACTTGTACACTCAAAATATACGTTCTAATTGAATATAAATCAAGCATTTTAATCCACACAATCATAATAAAATTTCTTTTTATTTTAGGGCGAAGTGATGCGTCGTTTCGATATTGAAACTTATAAATCACCTGTTTCTAGTCCATTACTTGCACGTCATTATGTCGCTTTAACTTTATTGGGCATTATATTTTTGTGTCTTAATTATTTGTTAGAAAGTGGAAAATACCATGAAATTTCATCAAGAATATGCGCTCTTTTCAAATCACAAAAAACACCATTAAAGCCAGTTGAACTTAAAATTGTTTCCATACAAAATTCACTTACAAGAGATGATAAAAGTAGTTCATATGCTGAAAATTATGCTGTTAAAGTAGATTCAATATGGAAGTCCTATGGTGCTGAATATGCAGTACGTGATGTTTCATTTTATGTTCAAACCGGTGAATGCTTTGGTTTGTTAGGCAAAAATGGTGCTGGTAAATCTACAGTATTTAAGATACTTTCTGGTCAAATCCATTATGACAGTGGAAATGTACATTTTTTGAACGTAAGTTAATTAAAGTATTTCTTAATTGAAAAATGTAATTATTTTAATTATGATTTTTATTTAAGTTAATTGAAATTTGTTTTTATTTTTTTAATTTTAGAAAGAAATTTCATATTGTCCTCAAACCATAGCTTTGGATCCGTTATTGAGTGTTGAAGAAGTCATTAAATTTTATAGTAAACTGAGAAGAGTTAAAGATGCTGCAAAGGTTAGTTATTTTTAAAAAAGAAAAGAAGGTTTTGGTTGCTAAATACGTTATTACGTCCGCATGTCGAATCCTATTCATATTGTTTTATATTCATCTCCAAATGTACATTTTCCAATTCTTTAGTTAATAAGTTTACTTCACCGCAATTTAAAATTAAATAATTGGTTTCCTGTTGTAGGAATTCTTTTGGATTCTGGCTGCTTTTTAAACTTCTAATCTGTAAAAATTTATATTACTTAGCATAAAGTAATTTGGTTTCATAGAACATATTAATATAAAAATGTAAATAGACCTTTTATCTTAGATGTTTATATTTTATACTTACTTGAATTATTGAGCTACGTGAGTTGATACCTTTGTTATCGTAAGCTGTTAGTGTGCAATGTATTTTCTTTGTTACATCTACGGTTGCTGCCCATAATATATAAATTTCAATATCTTCAGAGTCCTCGAAAAAATCTTTATCCTTTCAAATATATTTAAATCAACAATTGCTATATTTGAAGTTTATGAAGTTTTATATTTAAGGAAACTTACTAGTTCTTCCTCATTTAACATGTATTTAAGATACGTTTTAGTACCTAAAATAAGAACTGGTAGATGTTGAGAGAATTTTTGATATTTCTCTGGAAGAAATGCATTTTGTAGACATAATCCTTGGTCAACTGGAAGTTTATCTCTATAATATAAAAATTATATCAACATGACTTAGTTACATATGGGCTCTTACATATTTTCACCAGCATATATTATTATTGCTAGACACAATACTTTATCTATTTCTTCAAAAATTTTTGGAGAAAATTTTAAAGTAAAATTTTCATTTACTTTTAGTTCTTCATATGAAGGAAGGAGTTCACGTTTTTGATGATCACGCAAAAAATGCGATAAAATTGATGTTAGACCAACAATTTGTGAACAAGCACTTACTGGACATTTTATTGGACTTCTTTTACAACAATCGTTTAAATTCATATTTTTTAAGTTGGGATTCTTCTCATATTTTCTTTTATTAGTATTCATATCATCTACATCATCGAAAATACTAGTTCTAATTTGTTCTTTAAAGTCATTTAATTGTTCAGGTGTGAAATTCTTCAAAGCATTGTCAATACCTTTTGTATCAATTGTAAAATTAGTCAATTTGGTTGTTTCTGCTGTTAAATTATTGCGACATTTTTCATTTTTTGTTTCCAATTCAATATTTTTACAATATTTTTGAAAATCGACAACATGGTCATAGCAGGTTGGTTGAATGAACTTCTTTCTTGGTGAAGCATTACCATCAGGCATTTCTTGAAAATTTTTGCATATCTCGCAAAAATTTGAAGCCATCCTTAATTTTAGGTAATTTTTTTTATTATTTGTGTCTCTCTAATATTTGAGTTTTGAATTAAAAATATTAGCCTGTTTTTGTTTTTTATATTTGAAAATATTTAAACATGTATTACTAGTTATAGGGTACTGCACACACAATTATTCTAAGGGGTAGTTTTAAATCTTTATTAAATGCTACATTTTGCTCCAACATTTTGCTCGACTGTGGGTATTTAATAACATCTTAAATTCTGTAGCAATTAAAAAATAAATTGAATATATTTTTAGTCATAATAAATTAATTTTCGTGAAAGTATATTCTTAAACTTCGGTCAAAGATGTTTCCAAAAATTAATTAAACTTCTTCAATAATTAGTAAAGAGTTCTGTTGTTACCCACAAGATCTGATAATGTACGTATGTATCACTAAAAAGTTTTTCCTTAAAACTCCACAGATTTTTGGATTACGTTTTATATATTAATTTTTTTTCCACTTTAATTTGTGTAATATTATAAAAGAAAATAAAATTATTTATAAATAAAAAAATTTTTAATTTTAGTGTGTGGAACATTTACTTCTTGCATTTAATTTGGAATCGTATAGAAAAGTTTTAGTAAAAAATTTAAGCGGTGGAAATAGAAGAAAATTAAATGTTGCTGTTTGTTGTATTGGTAATAGCAGTGTTGTATTAATGGATGAACCAACAGCTGATATGGATCCAGTAACAAGATCATTAGTATATAAAGTTATTAATGGTTTATTAGAAGAACAAAAAAGTGTTCTGTTAACATCACATTCAATAACAGAAATTGATAAAGTATGCCAAAGAATTGCAGTTATTAAGGAAGGCCAAATAATTAGTTGTGGTACGCCACAACAATTGGAACAGAAATATGGTGGTTATTATAATGTTGTTATATTCCTAAATAAGACTGAAGTTTATGAAATGCAAAAGGTTTGTAATAATTTCAGTTTATTATTTTAAAATATAAAATATTTTAAATTTTAGTTAAAGATATTTAATTATAAATAATAATTTAAAGATATTTCATTTATAAATTTCATAACTTTATTACAGAATATTGTAGTGGAGTTTCCGGATTGTACTGAAATTCAAGTTCATCAGCATTCAATTAAGTTCATGATTAGAGTACAAAATACAATTGAAGAAGTAAGTAGCTCTAGATAATATACTTTGTTTTGAATTGCTTGTGTTTATCTTGTGACGATATTGCATGAAGATAGTTCTTTATTTTCTTCCCTGTTCGGCATTCTATTTCATTAAGAATTTTTCTTAAATTTTGTTGAAAACATGAGAAGAAAATGAAGATTAGTTTGTTGGAGAAGTGGGGAAGAAAATGAGGCTGTAACATCATGCAATAATATGATAATTTAAATATTTCAATTATTCTTGATTTTAAATTTTGTAATAATATTATTTCTTTTTTTGGAAATTTTAGAAATCTAATTCAAAGTCACAAAACGAAAATTCAATTAGTTTATCAAATTTATTTGCAAAAATAAATCGTTTTTCTGCAGTATATGATGTTCGATATGCTTTAAGTCGATGTCGTTTGGATGTGATATTTGAAAAAATTTTAGATTCAAATGAAATTAAAAATGAACATTCGATAGCAACGTCAAGTTTTAATAATTCATTGATAGCTTCACGTTCAGATGATGGTGGTTATGATCATAAGAGTTTCATTAAAACTGATTAAAGAAATTCTAAAAAGGATGTTCTTGTAATTAAGTTAAGAAAAAGTTAATTTATTGTGATACAAAATGAAAAAGAATATTTAAATTTTTAAGTAAATTAAGTAAATATTTTTTAATAATTAAAAAGTTAAGGTAATTTAAGAATGTTTGTATATATTTAAGGTAACAAATTGTGTTATTGTTAAAAATTATAATATGGAGTATGCTCTTAAAATAGTGTCTTAAATTTTTGCTTAAACGAATTTTCTTCTATTTTACTTTTAAATGTTTGCAAATTAATAGCAGAAGATTCTAGTGGAATCTCTTGTATTTATCTATAATCAAAAATCTCTTGTATTTAGATATCAAATAATGAGCCATTATCATAACCAACTTAACAGAGTTATAAATAATTTGAATATTAATTGAAGTTTTTTTCAGGCGCTCTGTTGCTTGAACAAAGTCAACAATAATTAGTATAAACTTTGAAAATTTTTTTTTTAATGTTAATAATCTGAAAACAAATGCTGTAAACGCTTTTTTCGTTCTAAACTAATTTTATTATAATACTGGTTGATAATTACATTTTTACTATTTATAATAATGTAGAAAATTTCTGGTTATTTTAATGTTACTTTGGATTTATAGAATAAAATTCAGTAACATTGTAAATTGACTTATGTATATATAATATTTGTTACCTTGAATCTGTTTTAAATTGCAATTATTAAGCTAGTGAGCATTACAGGAAATTTTTATTAAAAAAGTTATTTGTGCATTCAGAAAAGATTTTGTGTATATGTTTTAAGGTTTTGTTGTGTTTTTTTGGGAACTCTTTTGTTTTAGATTTAAATAATACTTAAGATAAAATTTTGTAAATAAAATTTGAATATAGTATAAATGTGTAACTACAATTAAAATATTTGTTTAAAAATTATTTTTTACTATTTAATGTACAAATATTTATTGATACTACATATATATTTCTTGTAAAATATTGTAGAAAACGGCTTCGATTGTAGAAAAGTTTTTATTTTACAAATTATTTCTATTAATTTTATATAGTACACACTACAATATATAAATTAAATATGGTTATTACTTACTAAGTAATAACATACTCCGAAGTATGCATTACTTACTTAGAAAAAGTGAGTTTTTCTGAATGGGCGAAGGGCAATCGTAAAATGTCTGGAGAATTTTTAAAAGTTTTTTTAAAATATTAAAAGTCTAAAAAAGTAACCTAGTTAACGTAGCTTCTGTAGATTTGTAATGATGCAAAAATAGATTTTTAAAATTTATGTTAAAACTCTGAGTACATATCTGAATTATCGAAATTACCCTAAATGAAAAAGGATTTCATTGCTCTAATTAAAAGCCCTACCAAAATTAATGACAAAAATATTAAAAGGAGCTTTTCTTATGTTTTTCTTCTTCATGTCTTATCTCTCTTCTGTTCTTGCAAAAATTATCATTTCTAAAACTTGTCGATTTAAAATTTTTGAATCTCAATTGAAAATTGTACATAGTATGTACATATTTATGTATTCTGCAAACCTTTAATTAATGATGACATTTTTTATTCTTTTTCTTTTATAATAAATTTAAAACAAATTTGGATTTTTTTATAAATTAAATATAAACAATTTATTCAATAAAAAAACTAAAAACAATTCCTAATTATGTATAAATGCACTTAATTTTCTGATGATGATGGTTTAGTTTCTATTTTTTCTTGTATACCACCACCATCTGCTCCACCAGGTTTTTCTTTTGTTTTATTATCGTTATCATCTGAGTCACTGTCTCCTGTTTTTTCAATTATATTTTCTTCTTCGGAATCATGTTTTACAACATTAGGTTTATAACGATATGCTAAAAATGCAAAGAAGAACATATCGACAAACATTAAGCCAGCAAACAAGAAGAATTCAAATGCTTGAGAACTAAAAATTTTTGCTTCAGCTATTATAACGACAATAACATTACCAAAAGCAACTGTTAATAACCAACATGCTTGCAATACAGATTTCATACTTTTCGGCGCTTGTGAATACGAAAATTCTAAACCGGTTACAGAGAACATAACTTCACCTAATGTCATTGTAACATATTGTGGTACAAGCCATAACATATGTACTGAATTTGGTTGTGTTATTGTTGATCTGCTAGCGACGTACTTTTCTTCATTTTTACTAATTAAAAGTGCATAGACACCTCCTTGTTTATATTCTAGTCCGCCTTCAATTTTTACATTATCCACATATAAACTGTAAGTTGCCTGCGATACTTCTGTTATTTTATAAGTGCCGTTTTCTTGATAATTATATTCTAGTGCAACATAGTCCCCATCCTTTAACTGAATTTTATGAGAACTTTCGGTATTTGCATATATTTGTAATTCCGGTTTTCCTTTTGCTGGTTTATCAATTTTTTGTTCGTTTTTATATAATTTAGCTTCATCTTTAGTTCCTTTAATTAATAAACTCATAGGCTTTTCTTTTATTAATTCTAATGTTGATTCTGGAATTGTTGGACAATCAGGTCCTGTAGGAGTCGCGGATAATGTGAATTTTGTTCCTTTAGAAACATCAATTGCAAGTTTTTCATAAATTTGAGCAGGTCTTAATTCGAATTGTGTAATATTTGGAATATTAGTTTTAACATTGAATGCGCAGTTATAACCATTAAATATTTTCAAATCTGCATGATTAGCTGCAGGATAAACTGGGTAAGTTTTCTAAAAATAAAAATTGTTAAATTTTAAAATAATTATAAAAATTTTATATTCAATATTACAATAATTTCGTAGCAGTAAAATAACGATATTATTTTCTATTCCTTAATAGTTTGCTTAAGCTTACCTCTAATTCCAATTCAACGACTCCGGAAGCAGTAAACGCGACAGCTGCTAATAGTCCACCACAAAATAGTTTTTGTAATGGTCTTTTAATACCAATTTTAGCTAATAATGGATAGAAAAGAGCCTCATATAATGGGATGAATGTCAAAATTAAGAGTGGATTAATTAATTGCATTTGATCTGGTTTTATAACAATTGAACCAAGTGTACCATCCATTCTAGTTGCTTGCAGTGTCCAACGTGAGCCTTGTTGATCAAATAAAGCCCAAAATACTGGTAAAGGTATGTAAAGTACTAAAACTCTCAACAGTACTTTGATGTCATCAATTAATTGACGATCGTATTTAGGTTCAGCGTAATCTAACCAGTGATCTTTTGGACCATTTTTTTTATTGCGACAACGGCCGACAATAGCAGCCTGAAAATTTTTTTTATTATTTTTTAATTTAGTCAACTAATTATATTTTAAAAAAGTTTCTTACTCCAATAGTTTTTGCCACTAACATCACCATGTTACCAGCTGGTCTTCTTAGTTGGTATAAAGGTCGACCAAAGACAAATATTACTAAAATATTTTTTTTTTTTTATAAATGAACCATAAATTGTGATTTTTATTATGATTTCTTGTCTTACCAATTGATACACACATTAAAACTGCTGGTACACCAAAAGCTAAGGGGTAACAATTTTCTTTACCAAAGCAGTGGACATCTTCACGCAAAATTGGTGTTACTGTTGTTGACACCAATGAACCGGAATTAATAGAAAAATAAAATATTGAAAAAAATACTGCAGCATGTTTTGCTTGTTCTGGTAATTTGAATTGATCACCACCAAATGCAGCAACACATGGTTTAATACCACCAGACCCTAATGCGATTAGCGCCAGTCCAACCATTGTCAATTCTACTCCAGGTAAATTTAAAGGTCCTATTGCTGTTAATGATACTAACACGCTACCAAGAACATAAACACATGACAATGATAAAATTGTCATAAATTTTCCTAACCAACTGTCAGCTATAATTGCTCCAGGTATACACATAAAATATACCAACATTGTAAAAACATGAAATATTACTGTTGCATCTTTGTGATCATAATTCAATTCATATGTTAGATATAGAACAAGAATGGCTGTTTTAAAAAGAAAAATATTTTTTTTTTTAATTTTTTTTCAGAATTGGAAGGACATATAAATAATTTTTTTTATCTTACCCCGCATTCCATAATATGTAAATCTTTCGCAAAATTCATTTCCAATAATAAATGGGATTGCTCGAGGATATTTTATTTTCTGAAATTGAAAAATGATAAAGGTTATAAATGGATCGCATTTTGTTTTTAAGGATAAATATCATTTGCTTCGGACAAGTAATTAGTGGGTCTATCTAAAAATGTCCTTCACATAATTAGTTATCGTATTAAAGCCCAACATATTATGATAAATTTTGATTAAGTGTTCATTTGCAATTTTTTATTTAATATGAAATGAAATCTTTGATTTGGTTGGCATTCTTGAGTCTAAGGACATTGCCCAAAAATTCGATTTAATTTATTTTATTTGTTTAAATGATTAAAAATAATTTCGATCTTATTCTGAATTTGATAACACTATCCAACCTATTTTATAAAATACAAAAACAATGTATTTCTGATAAGATATGGCAATTATAAGAGGGGCACTCATCAATGTTATGTTTTCACCTTTCGAATAATGTAATATTAAGAGTTTTATGAAAGCTATTATTGTTCCTGAAAATAAAAAATCTTGTAACTTACAATTATCTTAAGTTTGCTAATTAATCCTCAGCCAAAAATATTTTGAAGACTGTTCATAACGAAAAATAATTTCTTCCTTAGTATTTATTTATTAATAAATAGAAGTATTCTGAAGTGTGTACAAGAGGCGTCTAAATTGAAATGGACAATAAATATTTATTATTATTAAAGTTGGGCTAATTTCAAATTTTCGTCAGTCATTGAAGTGGTTAAGAACCCACTTTTTAAACTAAATTGAATTTTAAGTACAATATTTTTTGTATATTTTTGAGTTGAAGATTCTTTCTTGAAAACTATAGAGGCTAAAATTGGTGTAATTTCTATGAGAGAACTAAGAAGCTGTTTTTTTCTTTTTGGAGCTTCGAATTCAAAATTTTTATTTGTTTCCAACAGAGCCGGAGTATTCGACAAAACAATTGTATCTAAGATATACAAAAGCAATACTTAAAATAGCCTTAGCTGTAATATTAAATAAGAAAGCTTTCTATTAAAAGCCAACATGTACATACATATTATATTCCAATAAATTAATTAAGGAAAATATTAAGCAAACATTTTTTATTTCTCCTTTGAAATTTTTATTTTGTAGATTGTAAGGTTTCAGTTTTTCAGTGCTAGAATATCTATTTTTGTTTTATAGGGCTATTGTCTCTTTAAGTTTGACACATTAAAGTTTATTTGATTTATTTAAGCTTATCAAATTATCTCAAGAGTTTGTTATTATAACAACTGTAACAAGTTAATGATAAAAGATATTTAATGTGATGAAATTGAAATAAAGCGTGTCATACTTAAGTTTTATTTTATTTTTGTAATAGTTTGTTTCCTAATTTGAAAAGAAAAGTTTTCACTTCATGTACACAAAATGATTTTATTTAAGCAAATATTTTTATGGTCTGAGTAATATAGATGAAACTTAATTTCTATGAGATTATTCTAGCTATTTCTGATATTTGCTTACTTTATAGTAGGTTATCCATGTAAAAATTATTGTTATGTAATTAAAATTGCTCCAAGTTAAGCATTTATAAAATAAGATTAAAAAATTTGGAAACTTTTGATTGAAATTCTAATAATTTTACCACCTGCCCACCTGTCCACCAAGTATAGTTGATTTATTTATTTTACTGTTGGAATATTAGTTTTCGTGTACTTTGTTTAATGCTTGAAATTTTTTATTTGGAATAAAATTTCAAAACCTCGGATTTTTTAATACTCCAAAAATCTTAATCAAAAAGTGCTATTGTTATTATTGAGTTTTTAGAATGCAGATGGAAAAAATTTTTGAAATTTTATTAATTTCAATTTAAATTTTACTGCAGTCATTAAAACCTAGGTAAATCTAATTAACCAATGTAGAAGATTATTTTACTTATTTTGCTAATACAACATAATGTAGAGTTTAAAAGCTCTTCAGACTGCGTCCTCGGTATTTTATAACTAACAATAAAATTTAATGTGGAAATGATCAATGAAAATGTTTTCATGTTGTTTAATTTAACACTAATTCCGAATACAAAAAGGGAGTTCCCGCAGTCAGATAATAAAGTATGAAGAGCCTTACTATGTATATTACTTTGTTATCGCGATCATATGACAAATAACAAACAAACGGGATCTTCATAAACATAATATACCGTTATTACGATATGCTGGTGATACGCAGGGTGATTCTGAAAGATATACAACTACATATTATACTATTGATTAGAGGATCGAAAATGGGTAAAGCATTTGTCGCGGACTGGGTTGCCAAATCTCAAGGGTTTCAGGGATTTCAACGAATTTTCAAGAAATTTTTACTTATCCAAGATTTTTTGATTATGCTGAAAAAGATAGGAACTTCAAAGAAACAGTTTCGGATACCAAGCATTCGAACTTTAGGGAAAATCCAAATTTTTCACTTGTTTTATTTTTTCAGTTTTTTCTAACCAGAAAAGTTCGTTAGAAATTTTTTAAAACTTTGAATTTTTTTATAGGATTTTGCCCAGAAGTTTAAGCTTTAATTAAAAAATTTAAAAATTTCTTATGGTACACAAGATATAGCTCAAAAACCATTTCTATGTCAAGATTTTAAAGGCCCTATTTTTGATTTTTATTGATTTTAAGCGCTGTAATTATTTTTTTATTCCTACCTCGCTCCTGAGAGGAGCATAGGGCTGGGGCACGATATTGTACCGGAACTCATGAACCAGTTTCTTACGTCATTGTTTTTCGTAGGTAGGTGACGAGCCTAGGTACGCTGTAATTATTAACTATCAATAATGTTGGATGAGAAGAGTCACTCGAAAAAATAGTTGACATTTTGAAGAACCGAATCGAAATTTTTAAGAATCTTGATAAAAAATCTGAATTTTAATGTTTTTATTGAAACGTAACAGATAATAACAAAATTGAAACGAATTTTTATACAAACTTTCAATTTGAAAAACAAAAATAAATTTTAAAAAATTTGAAATTTTTTAAAAGAAAAATTAAAATTTTGTATTAGGAAAAACAAAAAAAAAATCAAGTAGTCAAATTTTTTTTTTTTCGAAACTTTTCTTGGTAAAGAAAATTGATAGGTTTTTTATTTTTCCCAATTTTTATAAGAAATGGTGCCTATATGGTTTGAAATTTTTAAATGTAAATTTCTCACATTGGGTGCAATTTAAAAATTTGAAAAAATTATTTTCGGAATCTAGACACCATTTGGCATCTAAAGTTATTCAAATTATTCAGCTACGGCATATTTTTAAAGACATGCCATATAAATTTTGACATTTATTCTAATAGATTTTTTTTTTTTCAATAGGAAAATTTAATTTTTTGACAAAATGGAGTTTGTAAATAAAATGGTTTTGAAGTTAATAAATAATTTAATGGGATTAATAAACTTTAAACAAATTTCTACAAAAACTAAAATTGGTATACGGTTAATGAAACTAAAGAGAAATATGCGATTGAATAAAAATAGATTTGAAAGAAGAAAAACATGAATTTCTTCAGAATTTGGTGAACTTCATAGAAAAAGTTGGTAATGAACTCATATTTTTCCAAATTTTTGTTAAAGGATTAATAAATTGAATTTAATTTTAGTTTTATCAACATCTGGTTTGGTTTTAATTGAATTTGTGGCTTACAATATTTTTGGTTTTTGTGCTTTATCTTCTGTACCGTAAAAAATTTTTATTGTTTATTAAATTTATTGGTTATGAAATTAAAGTTTAAGCAGCTGGGAAAAATTTCAAGGTTTTAAAAAATTTCTTACGAAATACTCTAGTTAGAAAAAACTGAAAATATAAAACAATGCTTGGTATTCCGAAGGTACATAAAATACAGCGTACATAAAATACAGCGAAAGCTGCACTTTATTAGTTTAAAGCAAATGTTAAATTTTGGCGATTCAATTTTGTTCATAAGTATTTCCAGCTTATCAACAATATGGTGAAGTTTTATTAGCAGCACAGTAACATCATATGAGCTGTTTTACTTTTATAAAATTGTCAAAAAAATATGGCATATTTATCACTTTCCTTAAAATGGCATTGAAATATAGAACGGTAAGATAGAAACCCGAATTTTTGATTTACATCATTTTAAGGACAAAATTAGGGCAGTCAATTGTTTAATTTAACAAATCTCTTTTAAAATTCAATGATTTTAAGAAAAAACTTGCTCAATTGGGAAAAATATTTCAAAAAATATTACTTCAAAAAATTAGACCTCTTAATTTTTTTCAACTGCGTAATATAATTTCGGAAATAAAATTTTGATCAAATTTTCGAAAAATCTCCATTGAACTACGAAGAATTGAATTTTGAAATAAAATTTAGAATTATTAAATTATATTTCCATAGATCACTTGCTTGGAATTGCAGTTGCGTGTCCTGTTTTAGAATAAAAAATATTAATTTAGAGGTAAAAATTCAATATACATGCATATACACAGGTATGTTTATAGTATTTTATTATAAACACTTGTTTTTATTTTATATACGCAACAGCATGACTCTTATTAGTGAATTAAATCTAATCAAGGGCGATTATTAATTTTATACCCACAATAATTTTTAATTGATTTCAATGTTATAAATTGAAATAGAATTTAAAGTTGGTAATTCTAATTATTATTTAGGATGTTAGTAGCAATATGATTAAATCAATTTTATTTTATAGCACAATATAAAAATAACCGATATGGTGCATGTTTGCCAATATTGCTCTTACATAACTCAATATACTGTTATGCAATTCCATAAACTTTTATTTATATAATCAGTCTAACATTTATTGGATTAATTGCTAGGGCCGTTTACTTAATTGCAAATCTAACGCCAGTCTAATTTATTCAATAATAAATTTTTGACAGCAGAATACTGTAGGTTATTGATTGTTATACATTTTGAGTGAGCTGGTCAGAATATGGTTCACAAATTTCAAGAGTTGATTCATCGTCTATCATTCATATTATCGAAATCGATTATACGTTTCTCAAATATACTCCGACAATTGATTTTTGGATTAATTATTTCTTTCTAATTTATATAGGTTATTTAGTATGTCAATACACCTTTCCGAGAAAAAAATATGGCGATAAGTATAAACGTATGTTATTGCCAAAAGTGGTGTGGTGATTATACAATTTCTAAAATTATATAAAATTTTTACAGTATTTTTCCATAACCATGTTCAATGATAGTTTCAAGTGAATTCCAAGAAAAGATTTCATATAACGTAAAGATAATAAGACAATGTACACATAGGTATACACAGAGTACAACTTATATAAGAAAAATCTAAAATATATGATTGATTTTTAAAAAATGGATTTTTAGGCAATGTTGAAAATTTATAGTTTCTTTTTTTTTTGAAATTTTGTACGAAATTTTGCTTTTGTGCTGTAATTTTTTGTATTCTTGCATAAACTGAAAATTTCATCTGCAACTAGAAGGCAGAATTAAGATAATAAGACATTGTTAAAGGATTTTCGTTAAGAAAAGTTTGGAATGTTCTTTAAGTTTTTGTTACACATAAACTTTCCATCCAATTTTAATAAAATCAAACAAATTATAGAAACAAATTTAAAGTGTGTTCAGTCTTCGACTAACTATGAACATTTTTTATTTGAAATTTTTTTTTATTTTAGATAGCATTTGAAAATCTTTGTTGCTTTACGAAAGAACATGGTAATTTTGAATAATGAATTTAAAATGGAAATAATGGATTTTAAATAATAATGGAGAAAACAGGCTTTATTTGAATTGTTCATAATTTATGATAAAAATTTTAAGTAAATAATTGATTTAAAATTTATTCGATATGAGACTGCATTACTAGGGGGCTTACATACCATCATATATCTGACATTATTATAGTCTAACATCATTTGTAATCTTAAAATTTACGATACTTTCAACTCACCTTTTTCTGTGACTCAGCATTATTTTCATCTTTGTCAATTTTATTCCAATCATTTTTACTTTTATCCAAATTTGAACTTTCAGGTTGACCTGAAACATCATAAGAGTTTTTACCCATTACACACAATTAAATTAAAATAATTTTAAAAAAATTTAAAATATTTTTTTTTTTATTATTTATTTTTTTATTTTAAACTAAAAATTTCATTTATTTTCATTTGAGAAAATGTTTAAATTTTGCGCGTATGTTTGAGGCGAAAAATTTTTTAATCTAATTTTAAAAAAAAAATTTTAATATTTAATTTTACCGCCGCACTGTATTAGCGCATACGAAGTCAATTGTTGGACTAACTGTGATTATCAAAAATTTTTTTTTTAAAAAAGAATTAATTGTAGAGAGTTTCTAACAAAAAATAACAATTTTTTTTTTTCTAAATAAAATCGATAATCTCTAAATATTGAATATAGAGAAAAAGGGGGGTTTTTGGCTGCCGATTATCAAAGGACAATCAATAAATAAAAAAAAACAATTTAATAATAAACAGAATTTTTGTTGATTAAAATATTATCATTCTTTTAATCGAAAGTCATATATCATAAATTTTCAAAAAAATACAAATGAATTATAATAGAAGTTACTGAAATTTACATCTAAACATGTATTATATCTGACCGAATTTAAGATAACATAACTTACCTTGCGATTTGAGATAAGAATTTTTCAACTTACGAATAGTTGAGATAACTAAGCACCTATATACATAATTACAAGTATAACAAGTATGACTAAACTATTATATGCAAAATTATTATGTATCTTATTTGGTATATGTGTATGTTATTATAATGGAGGAGTAAGATAGAATAACTAGCAATATAATACATATATTTATCTGAGAAAAGAAAAATATTGTTGTCAAAAAAGTAGACAAATGTCATTAATATACAAAACGCTCCCTATTGATAAGAGTTTTAAGTGAAAACACAGATGGAATAGGTATATAAATAAAAGATTATAAATTCATTCAGAGAAAACGAATTCATTCATAAATTTCTAGAATTGTTAGTAAAGTAAAATTAATGGAGTAATGGAATTAAATAGTGAAAAGTTTGATCCTTAAAAATCAAATTCGACAATTATATTTCATCTCAACCTTTAATGGCTTTAATATGATTGTTAATATATGTAGGTTTTTTGACAGTTTTTTGATAAACTCAATTTGATCACAGGTTTTTGGGTACTCACTCTTGAGCGTCGCATATTTTACATCAAATTTTGAATTTTTCTTACCTCAGTTATTATACTCTTTACGAAAAAATTTTGTTGCAATGGTAATCTTTTGTAGGAATACGTATAAAAGAATGTCAAATTTAAGAGCGTATATATTAAAAAAATTTAAGGGAAAAACTACGCATTTCTATATTATTGCATACTAAACGATAAACGAGTTCAATGTCATCTCTGAAATAGATATGAAAAAGTAGGTCAAATTCATTTAAATCGTTTAAAATTAAAAAATATTTTGTAACTGATATTTTTTCTTGTTTCGATTGAAAATTGTTCCCGATATTGATTAGGCGAAATGATAACGGTAGAATTAGTAGTTAGTTAGAAGTTTTCGGTTATCGTTATTAATGCGTTAAGTGCGCATTGTTAAACTCTAATTTATTTACATTTATTACAAGTGTTTTAAATTAAACCACCCATTGGCAAAAATAATAAATAAATGAATAAAATATTTTGTTTTACAGTAACCACGCTTAGACAAACTATAGCTACAATTGATTTTTTTTGGATGAAAACAGAAAAAATCGAACACATTGATGAGAGTTAGACAACACTAAAATTTCAAATTAAAGGGAGTTTTAAAAAATTATCTAATTAAAATTCGCATAATCATTTATCCGAAATATTTGGAATTCGTAATCCTCATTGTGCCTTAAACGTTGTAATAGTTCCGAGAAAATTAAAAATTTTAATTGCTTAAATGTTCAAAAATTTAAAACTTGAGTGCCTCTTAACCTTGAACATAATCAGAAAATTTAACAATATTAAAAATATACGTAATAATATGAACCAAAATATTTACAAAATATCAAATTTTTAATAAGGTCATTTAAATACGTATACGCATATTGTCCTAAATTAGATATTTTTTTGGATTTGAAGGATTAAATGGTATTAAAATATTAAGGTAACAAGAGTGTTGTAATACTACTTTAACAAGCTTATATACTTAAAATTTGTATTGAATTTATAGGCTTATTAAAGTAATGATATTATTTGTGTAATAGTGTATAATTACAAGCGAAGAACCTACTATTAATTAATTCAGTGTTGGGTAAACAGATGGAATTCCTTTACACAAGAAAACTTAACTTTAGAACTCGCTTCTTTCATCATTTCAGTTCTAGGAGTGGTTGTTCACCTTTATTCTCGCAGATAGCTTTATAAAAGAAATGTTAAATCTGTAATGCACAAATCTTATTATTTATACTCCACCCAGGGTAATTTGAAGTGTTACGCAGGTGTGGAAGAAGCGCAAACAATGTTTCAAGCCAAAACGAATAGAGAAAACAGCACTTATTCTCGTTATTATTGGCTCTTGTCCTGGTTGTCGAAATTAATCTTCTTCAACTTTTGGGTATGGTATTCTAGTTTTCGGCCGTGATGACATTCGGCGGTCAATCAACATGTATCATATCAAACATATTTTGCCACTATGTTCTAGTTGTTATTCTTCAACGCAAATGGCGTAGTGAAACGACATTTTGAATTTTTTGGTAGGCGTTCAGTGATGTTCGCCAAAAACGTAAATTTAAATATAAATTTTTTTGAAAAAATATTAAAAAAAGAATAAATAATAAACAAATTGAAAAAACTTCCATATTCAATGACTTCTAGCAGTAACGTCTCTTCCAACAAGAGTACCACATCATTAATAAAATAACAACGCGAGTGGCGTGTGTCATACGAGTGATAATCGGAACAAGGCTCTTTATAAACTCATTGTTCCTTTAAATAAACTCAATTTAATAATGGTTCGGAACCCAATTCGGAGCTAATATTATTACAATAAAAAAGTTATTTTTCGAACTAGCTTATTTTTTGACATTTTCAAATCCAGATGATTTTCTTATTACTGTACTATTCTCATTTTATAAGAAGGGCAACTTCTCAAATGCAAAAGAGTATTATTATTATCCTTATCTAATAGATAGTTTGATAAATTTATGGTACTGTCATAGGATTAAGAGGTGAAATATATAAATCATAATATTATTATTAAATTTAATTAATGACTTTTAATTTCGAAATAATATTATATAGTGCTATATATGTATGTAACCATTGACCGTATATTACAAAATTTTTTAGATAACAAAATGATTTTCAATTATCAAAATAAAGCTTTCGATTCCAAACTTTAAATTTCAAATTTTAATCTAGTATATAAGACTTTAAAACTTTCATTGGGAAACTTTATTTTGATTGAATTTATTGTTATAATAATTTTAGAATTATCTGATTACAGGTATTTAGAAGTATTTTTTTGCTTTTTTTTTGGGATTTTCTGATTTGCAACTACATTTTGTACTATGTATGTGTATATAATATAAAGTATTATTAAATACAACTACCTAATCCTTGAAATTTTTTATTATTTGTTTTATCTTTTATTTACAGTTAATTCTCTTATTCGTCAAATGTTTTTGAGGCTCGTTAAGTTAAGAAATGTGAAATGGTTTTTTTTAAACACGCTATACATTAGAAATCAAAAAATAAATAGAAATTTGTAATGAGGTTCTTGCAAAAAAGTTCTAGATAATGGGTAGCGTGTTTAAGAATTTTCTTTAAAAAATTAGTAATATTTTGTAGTAATTTTCAAAACTACTTAAATTGTAATACATAGTGTGACAGTATTGAAATTTTATAACATTCACACATTTATGAAATTTATCGGTCATTAATGATTCTTTTACAATTTCAATAGAAACACACAATATCAATTTATTTACAATCGATTAATTTGAAAATCGATTGTAATTGTTGATGGGTTGTTTTTGCTTTATTATCTATTGAATAAGTTATTATTAAATTTTTTCTATAAAATTTATATTATGTATGTTCATATATTATGTGTGAATAGGCATAATTATTTACATAATATAACACAATAAAGAATTATAAATTAATCGTCTATTATCATAATAGAGATTACTAAAACACAAATATCATTATTAGTCGATATTAAAATATTTTTTATCGCAAACGTTGATTTACGGCTTATATTGAATAGCATTATTGGTAATCTTTAAATATGTACCGACTTGTTACCATCATTTTGGTCTGGTCTTTTTATATAAGTAAAAGATTATATTGAATTTTGTCAAATTGATTTTAAATTATAATAAAAGAGAAAAATAATTTACGAATTAAGTGTAATAATAAATTTTCACATAATATTAATAAAATTGATAAATTGACACATATTGGAAGTCTTCGTCTGCTTATGTATGGAATATTATTTATGGAGATCTTATACTATTGGATTTAATACTGTATGTTGGAATAAGTGCAAATGTACTTTGAAAAGGTTTTTTACTAAAAATTACATTGTTGTAATTGTTTTATGATATTAAATGAATAAATGGCGACTACGAAAGTTTACTGAAAATGAGTGAGTCAATGAATGTAGGAACCAATGGAATTGATTTTAAAAGCATTGTCAAAAAAATTTGTATAAAACAAAATTCAAATATTTGAAAATCGATTCGGAATTTGGCTCCGATTCAAAATTTTTAAAACTGACACTAAGCTTTTTTTTTCTTTTATTTGGTATTGCATGACTTTTGGTAAAATGCCTTCCAGATGCATTTCGAACTTTTTGTTTAAGACCTTTTAATTTCCAATTTCATTTTAACAAATAGCTTAAATATAGTTCAAGAGACTCAGGATCACACGAGCTGGCTCCAGCTCATACTGCTTAAACATAGTTCAAGAGACTCAGGATCGCGCGAGCCAGCTCCAGCTCATACTGCTTAAATATAGTTCAATTGTCAGTAGATTTTTATAACTTGCTTATTTTATTTATTTTTATTTATTTATTGATAAAATTTGTAGTGATGGCGAAAGGAAAAGAAAATTGAAAAATTTAAGAGTATTCAACCTGGAAATATCGAAATTCATCGAATTCTTTTTACTTTTATAAAGTTTTATCGAAATTTTATTATATTAAAACGGGAAACCTCGAGACAAATATTAAATAAAATTGTCTGATTAAAACGATTATTCGAATCACAATGAGATTATAGATGAGATTTTTTATTATAAGAGTTTTTAAAAATTTAACAACTGATTCCATCCTAAAATTATTATGTGTTTTAAGGATTTATTGAAATTAATTGGAAAAAATCGGAAATTTGTTCAACACAAATGTGTAGAGTACGATAATCAAAAGAAAGTTACTATATTTGCCAAAGTTTTACCATACTTTTTATTAATATGAATTTTGTAAGTTTTTTTGTGTTCATTTTGTAAAATGTTTTAACATATTTTCTTATGCGGGGTTAAGAAGGTATTCCCCATAAGCTCTTTGAATAAATTGTGAAAGTACAAAGCAAATTTAACATCAATTTATTTTTTATTTAGCAATTTAATTTCTATTACTTAGCCAGGCAAGTTTTGATGTTAATTCTGATTTAATGCAAATTTTCTTCTATTAATAAATTTTAATATAGCATCAATTTGTAATAAAATGCAAAAATTAAATTTTAACAATAATATCGTATTAATTACGGTCTCATTTAAATTAAATATGGAAAACCTTAAAATGTTTTAGTACAAATTTTATTCATAAATCTATGAAGGGGCAGAATTAGACTTGTAAATAATTTTGTTCCATCACAGCTTAAAAACGCCTTGTCCATTCTTAAAATTTCGTCGTTTATGGTGCAGTAAACAATTTTCAAAATTACATATTTTTTTTTTCAAATTAATTTTGAATTTTATTTTTCTTAAACACTTTAAACTCACTTTGAATTTCATCCGTACTCATATTGATTAAAATTAAATAATTTTTTTATATTTAAAATCACTTTTAAAAATAATAAAAAAACTTTTTTTTAACAATAATAATTTTAGATTTTTAATAATAACTTAATTTTTTAAACTTAAGTAAACAGTCTTCCTTTTTGACTATTTCTAAGTTTTTTAAACTTAGCAAAAGAATTTTATTGTTTGAATTGAAATTCTAAGAAGAATTTTTCTTAATTTTTTTCCAGTTCAAATCAATACAATCGATTAAAAGCAACTGAAAGAATTCAAAAATATTTTTATATAAGAAATTTTTGCTAACTTTAATTTATAATCCATAATAGGCACTATATGTGCTATATATTTTTGCTATCAATACAGCAGAAAAAAAAGAGAAAGAAAAGAAAAGAAAACAGGTACTTGTAAAATTCAAATATTCCATTGTATTCAACAGATATCGTTACTTATATTATGTATATTATAGTTAAAGTACATAATATAATTTTAGAGATTAAATTGTCTCCTTTATAAAATTAAAAAGAAGTGCAAAATTTGAAAATAAAAATAAAATAATAATAACGGTAATCTTAATGAACAAAATACTTTTATTAACTGTTTGTTCAATTATTGAAGATAATTTTAATTAAATGTAATCGATTACATCTATACATTTGTATAGAGAAGTACTTGTAAAGAGTATGCTAATATTTATGAAAGAATTGAATTTATATTCGATTTTTAGGAAATAGCGCCATCTATGTGATTTCCAATATTATTGTTGAAACGGTAAAATTACAAGTTAGTGAATTCTTTATATAAAATGAGCTATATTATAAAGAAAACTTATATTTATTAGCCGAAATTATGTATATTTCTGCGTTTGAGACGTATTTTCCTTTAATTCTATTAACTGCAAACAAAACTAATGAAATTTTGTATGTATGTGTGGGCTTATACACAGTGTTTAAAATTTTTAAAAATTTTCAAACAAATGAATACTGCTTTTTGGAACGAAATCAGTATTCGTATTATATGAGATACATGCAAATTTTGTATTAAAAAATTAATGTTAATCAAATTTGCTACTACATTTATATACGTGTTGCTAACTTAGAACCACTCAATAATTATGGAAATGCAAAATCTACAACAAATGGTTCATAAAAGCGGAAACTTAATATTAAAGAGAACAAAATAACACAACTTATTTATTAAAGAAGAATTAAATTATTTTTAACACCCTTCACTCGTTACTGCAATACCCTTTACTCATTGTATTCTAATGTTATGTTAAATTTATTCTCTTGATTTTTTAATAATAATTCATGTATACAATTAAAGTTTATATGTAATTGATAACATAGACAAATTTTTTATAGGTATTTTTACTTCTGATTCTAATTAATAATTTTTAATTCCTGTATTGTAACTGCAAATAATTGCAAAGTCGCGAATTTCAAGAATTTTTAATTTATATACATACACATACATAGGTAATTTTATGATATTTTCATTATTTCAATATTTAAATATGAGAATAGTGTTGTCGGAATTAACGAGTTAGTTTAAATTATGAATAGTGAGGGTAATTTCAAGTCTCATATTAAAACAGAAAATTAAAATTTCGATTTTGTTTTATGGTGGCAGTCGATGATTAATTAAAAAAACAAATTATGTTGTTTTTAAACGTCTAGCCTTATTTTTTATTAAAAAATTTCTAATAATATTTGGGTTATATATTTTATTATATTAAATTCAATTGTCATACACTCATTACATAAGCAAAAATATTTTATTTAACACAAAATTTATGTCAAATTTCATAGAAGAAATGAGTTTGCTTATTTTTTCTTTTAGTGTACTGTAATTAATACGAAATTATTAATAAATTTGAATGATTTTTTTCTTAGATTTGCATATACACACATACATGCGTACATAATATGCGTATATTATCAGTAATATTATTGTTCTTAATTTAATCTTATAATAATTTTTATGTACGTATGGTAATACTCGTGTACTTATATACTTATCATAATTATAAATAATAAATCTTTAGTGGTTAAGTGACGTAAATTGAATTTTACCTTGCTTTTATCTTTTAAATTATTTAAATAGATAGGTTATCGACTTAGTGAAAGTAAGTATGTAAAATGTCAAAGAATTATAAATTGACAAGACATTTAAATGAATAAAAATTTTGAATATGTAGGTACTTCCTTAACAAAATCATTATGTTAAACGAGAAGAATGTTACTTAAAAGTACAAATGCATTCGGTTAAAGGTGCAAAAAAAGAACAAGTAAAAACGTTTCAGTCGGTCTGAAACGTGAACTGATGATACACTTGCACCTTGGCAATCTGAGTATAAAGACTTCTTTATACAATATATAAAATTAGCTTTTATGGTTGTATGGCAGTTACACGAACCTTTCAGACATTCTACAAAAACTTTACCGATATATCTATAATTCGACATATGGCTGTCAAGTCACATCAACCGAACTTTATTATTTTTTCGAATAAGTAAAATTGTCTTTTTGGAATTGTATGGCAGTTACCCGAACCTCTCAAGCCATGTCAGAAAGACTTCAAGGATACATGTGACCTATAACTAGACACATAACTGCCAAATCTAATGAATGTAGCTTTGCTATTTTTCCGAATATATAAAATTAGGTTTTGGAGTTATATGGCAGCTAGATCTAGTGCAGTCATTCTATTGAAATTAGAGTACATGTAAAATTCAATTATACACACGTATACAAAATTTCATATTTATATCTTTATTAGTTCTTCAAATATTTCAAACAAACTCTTTAAGTTGTATTGCAGCTATTCGAACCCGTTGGCCGAAGTGGTATGTCCTTGGCATAAAAGAAGAATAGGGTTCGTCCTTGGCATAAAAGAAAAAAACTTGTGAAAGTTTGGTCGTTTTTGAGTTTTCTTGAAAGTTTCTATTCGTTTTTTATCGGACGGACGAACATGTCTAATTCAACACAGAATTTCACGCGAAGCAAGAATATATACACATACGTTATGTCGTTATGCATATATGTATACATACATATTCATGAAGATGCTGGGTATAAAAATGAATCATTTAAAAAATTCCAAAATTATTTAATTTTATTTTAAAAATTCTAAAAAATGAATAGAACCTTATAATTATAGTATGAATGAATTGAAAATTGAATCTTGAAAATTTTAAAAAAAATTTAATCACCACAATATAAAATGTGAACCTGATAATAGTAAAATTGTAAAGGTAAGGTAAACTAGTTTAAACCACATAATATATACATACTTAAGCTTACAAGATATGAAAAAATTATAAAATCTTTATAATATTATGCGTGAGTGTATAAAGTAAAGAATAGTCTAATGTATTTTCACCACTACTATTATTTTTGTGTTGGATAAAATTTTTTGTTTCATTCTTAAAATGAACATTCTTTATCATAGTTGAAAATTTATTTGAATGAGGTTTGTGTCTTTGATTTATGAAAATTCAACATTTATTTATGAAAAAGTTTATTTAATTTTAAAGGAGGTACATTTTTCTAAATATAAGTGAGTACATAGAGTAAACGATCATTTATTAGATATACGGTTTCCAAGTATCCCGATTCTTGTATTATATTGGCGGGGTTTTCCAGACCTGTGATGTAATTATTTCAAAATTTCGGCCTGAAAAGTTCCGTTGTTTTAATTATGTACTTTAAATTTTTGAAAATTAAAAAAAAATTATAAAATGTCGATATCAACACATTTTTACTCTTGCAAAACAGTAAAATTGTCACATACAGTAAAAATAACATGTAGTTATACACTAGTTTTCAGTTTTTTGCAATAGTGAACACCGCAATAGAAGTTTAACAATTTTATTTTCAAAATTAAAATATTGAAACTACATAAGTACATTTGGTCCTTCTTCGAGAAGAATAATTCAATATAAAATCAGCTATAACTATCCTTTTTCAACTGCAACAAAAGCGTTAAATAAAGCGAGTATTAAAATATTTTCAGAATTAAGTAGGTATTTCAGTAAAGCCCACGGTAAGAATGAATTTTTCACTATTATTTACGGCGAGGGAATGAATTTTTGTAACGTACGCCAAATAACTGATATAAATTTTGTAATGCTCTTGAATTTATACGTTCTATAGGATTTTTATCAAACACAACTCAAAAATTAAAAATGGTAGAGTTTATTATAAAAATTTACATTGTTGAACTAGGTTTAAGAACTCTGTTTGAAATTATTGTCACTTGAATTCCATTAATCTAAGTAGTCTGACGCAGGCCTTCTTTATACGTGTGTAATTCTTACTACTATTTAATTGTTTTAAGTCGTCTCTTAGAAATTTTCCTCAACTATGTTCAAATTAATATGAGTTTACATTTGATAAAAATTGATCTACACAAGATTTCATACAATATCTGTATGAATTGAATTTTAACTTTTAAGAATTGTAGTGCAATCAGATCTTGAAGAATAATTTGAATCTGCTGTAATTAAAAGAATTGTTGTATTTTATAGCAAGAATGTGTTTCAAAATTTTGGTAGTCTAATATGATTAAGTTCGTTGCCTTAATCGTATTTAAGATTCTATAAGACAAAAATATCATCTTTGAAAATTTCTTAATATTATAAAATAAAAATAAGTTCCCAATTTTTGTTAGTAAACAATCATGAACACAACAAGTGTGTGGAAAATAATCATTTTTGTATAAGGAAATGCGATATCTAGGACAAGAGTCCAATACACCAATTATTTAAAAAGCCCACAACATTAATTTCAATCTAAATGAAATCAAACAACAATACATTTATCAATTTATTATAATTTTTTTTTAAATATTCACTTTTACTATATTAAAATTTTAAAAATTCAAGTTCGAAAAAAATACAGAGTGTTTCCACAATTATGTTTGCCTTATTGCTATAGGAAAACTTGTACGTCAGTTGATCGGGTTCTTTATAAATGTGGTCTCAAATATCTTATTGCAGTTAATTATTAAATAAGCACTTTATTAATGAGATTGTTATGTCAATTGTAATTAGTATATTTTTAAAATTTTCTGAAAGTTTTAAGATCCTGAAGTCTTTAAGTATTTTTAC